TTTTGATTCTTTAGGTCACAATTTGATTCGATATTGATTTTAAATGCTTCGATATCGATTCAGTAATAAGTAGAATTACACAAATAATTCATTAGAGTACCTGTTGACACTGTACGGTCGTAGGTCCTTACATATGANNTTTTCCGGCATATGGCCTCCTCATTTCCAACATTCATGTTGATTTCTCGACGGCCGCAGACCCATACTTAAAGTTAAAGGCATACTATGCAGGATTTCCCTAAAAAAAAAAAAAACTATACAACTATATACTCCTAACATGATTCTTCTCAATCATCACTTATGACCCACTAGAAGTGTGTGGCAGTGTCTGAGAGACCCTAAAGTCCTTTTCCTGTATTTTCTTATTTTGCTGTGTGGAGGACATTTCTGTGCTAGGCCATGGGAAAAGACACTTAATAAATAATAATAAATGGCAATAAGAAAATTGTTTAATAGAATGTTGATATTTTTACTTACGATGCAGACTGCCCTGAAAGCACATAATGCATACATTGTCATAAAACTCATCGAACCTTGATAATGGAACATTCTATGAGTGAATCACAATAGCTACTTCCACCCTCTGGAGTACAATATGTTCACAGACAGTCCACGATGGACGTCCTACTCCGCAACACTGTATGACAAAACAGTAATATTAAGCAAAGGACTAGACAGCACTCCCATTTAATGATTTAATATTGCAGCACTTGAATTGATATTAAATCCATTAAAACTCAAAAACATGCCTCACATTGTATGCAGAGCATTAGAAATACTTCATTTAAAAACAAGCAAAGGAAATTGCCTTATTCACACCACTGGAGATGAATAAACCAGGGAAGTGAATCCAACCCCTATTACTGCCTGTCCATGGTGTACATAAAGTAGTTAAACTCAGTTTCTTAAATGCAGAAATAAGGCTCCTTCCTGCAGGGTTGTGCGGAGGTGTGATTGTGTTTTTTTTCGTGCTTTAGAATGTAACTGCAACTAAACAGTTTTTAGTTGTTTTAGTTTTTAATGTGGCTCCCTCTCCTCATTCATTTTCTTCAGCTAAAGCTGCTGGAAGGAGGAGCTAACTTTGAATGGTGCACTTATAAACAGCAGCAGACAAATCCTGCATAATATGCCTTTTTAATAAATGGTCAGTTTAATAGGGTTTAGCAGGCAGTTGGCTTCTTTTATTGAGGAATAAGTTGAGTTGTGTTTCTTTAAATCCCTTTACCCTCTCAGGTTTGTTTACTGACTTTCCCTCTGACCTTCTACAGATTTCCTTCTATTATGGGTTTGCCATCACATGGAAATGTCTCCTCCAACACTGTACAGATGTCAAATCAAGGTATGTTCTACTCAAACAAGGTCATTATCTAACTCCAGTTTTCACATCAGCACTCTGCAGAAGGGAGCTGGGAGCTTCAATAGTTGTCAATAGGGGGTGCAATTATTGGCATTTTATTTTGCTCATTTAATGGTATGCCTTTGAAGAATGAGAGCTGCTAATTAACAGATGTTTAGCGATGCAGTACACACACTGGAGGAGTGAGAGGGGAAAAAAGCTATACAGTAGATTGCCTACATCACCACAGGTCCCGTGATCCCTGAAGCAGGATCTCAAAAACAAGCTACGCTCAAGCTAAGTGACCGCCCATTTCCTGGCCAGGCCCCAGCTCCCGACGTGGTGGCTGATGGCTCCCGTACTGTCACAGATCCAGCCTTGGTCCAGCCACCCTCTGCCTTCACCACCGCTGAGGGTCGCCCCACCTCCCTGGCCCGGATTGGTGCTAGTCAGGATTGCCTACCTTCTCGTGTTTGTCAGGATCGACCCAGTCCCACCTGCTTGTGGGTCCTACAGGAGTCAATTCAAGTCCTGTTCTCCCCTTTCCCACCGGCTGCTACGGCCCCTCGGGTCTCCCCTGCTGCCGCTGCAAATGGGTGCCTGCCTTCGGCCTGCAACCCGGCCTGCACATCTTCTGCTGTCTCTCGGGTCGTGTCCTCCAGGTGGTCTGGCCTCCACGCCCTGGCTCAGCGTCCTCTGTCTGCGCTTGTTGTTGGCACCTCAATGGCCGACACGTGGCAATATGTGGCCGCTGGACTTTCTGCTATCCTGGTGCCTGCATTAAGGACATTACCCAGTGCTCTACAGCTGAAAATATATTATTATAATAACGACAACTCCACCACCGCAGTCATCGTCCAAGCTGGCACAAATGACATCAAATACTAGCAGTCAAAGATTCTCAAAGACGTTAGAGTTCATATATCTTGTCGACAGTCTGCTGGACACCGGGAAGCCGGTAATTATTTCCGGTCTGCTCCCCTCACCTCGTTTTGGTGACGTGAAGTTTAGTCACCTACCCCAAGGGGTTGCTGTCTGACGCCTCTTATCCACCAACATTGAACTGACTCTTTATATCCTGACCTGCAGTGAGTCAATTTACAGTATTCCTGTCAGAATTATGCCTAGATTTAAAACCCACTACTCTGTTAGGTCTCATAATTTGGTTATGGGGGAGCCGGGGATCGAACTAACAACCTTCCGATTAGGGGACGATCCACTCTGCCTCTGCACCACAGCCGCCCATAACAAATCCTTCATTCTCAATGATCTAATTACATACCATAAGCTTGATTTTATGTTTCTTACTGAAACCTGGCTGAAGCCTGCCTACCTAGTTACATTTTTAAATTCGGCAAGACTAATAGGCTGGGGTGGGGGTATTGTAGTTGTCTTTAAAAACCATCTTACTTCTGTTCCACTCAGCCATAAAAGTTTTAAAATCTTAACTTTTAAAATTGTGCGTGAAGACCCCATCTGCTGTATAATCATTTACCGTCCCCCCAATTCCAACTCCAGCAGTGGTTTCCTCACTGAATTCTGACCTACTGTCTTCTCTCGTGCTCAAATTTGATAAGGCCATTATAGCTGGTGACTTTAACATTCATATCGATAAAACTTCAAATCCATTTGCCACTGACTTTTTAAACATCTGTAAATCTTTTAACCTTGTGCAGCACGTCTCTGGCCCTACACATAACCGTGGGCACACACTTGACTTAGTTTTTACTCTGGATCTGTCTGCGTTTCCATATGCATGATTTTGTCTGACCACAAATGTTTGCTTTTGATACACATTTTATAACTGCTTCACCATCCCAGAAACGTATAATCCACTCTTGCATCTTTAATAATCAACTTTCAGTCAGCCGCATTTTTTTAGCACATATTTCTAGTCTGGCCACTTCCCCCTCCTCACTACTTCAATATTAAGTGATGCAAATTATACTGGCTGTTAATAATTTGTCCGTACCGTCAGCCCCTTGATGTTTTCCTGCTCCAATATAATCCCCAGGGCTGCCCGCAGTTAGTTAATGAAATCCGTGGATGCCCAACGATAATTGACAATATGCGTACAACAAAGAAGGGTTTATATTGAGGCGAGCAAAATTTGGGAAAAAGTACAAATACTTGTAGTCCGCCGCTCTAATGGCGAGGGACATTACTCGATTAAATTG